GTTCGAACGTCTTATGAGCGGTGTATATCTACTCCTCTATCTCTCTCTCTTTCTCTCTCTTTATATATATATATATATATATATATATATATATATCTTTTTCTATTTCTTTCTCTTTTACACTTTCTTTTTCTTTCGTTCTTTTTTTTCGCGTGTTTTTCTTTATGAGAATCTCGATTGGAACCGGCTTACTAATAAACACTAGAAGAGAAAACGATTCTATTTCGTTCTTTTTTTGTTACGGATTATTATTCCTCGATTTATCTATTAGATTGTCGTATTGGAAAATCGTTATAATACTATATTATGTAATCGTTCCTCTCGTTCGATCGTTAACTCTCACGCGGAATTAAATGTGCTATATATATAGGTTGGTAACGTGGTTAATTTTATTTCCATTTTGTTTTTTCTTATTTTATTACTCTTTATTTTTATACGTCTCTCTCTCTCTTTCTCTCTATTTAAAATATATTTAATTACGGAATAATATGTAGTAATATATTTCTTTTGTTTTATTTCTAAAATAATTTATGTATATATTGCACTTATTTTATATTAATAACATATTTAATTAGGTACATAGAGAATATTATATTATATATCATATTCGGAATAATAGCATATTTATTTTTCATTTCTAATCAGGTTTTATTCATACACATTTATTTGTTAAGTTATGATATATTTGATAAGGTATATAACATACATTTTATACGTTACGATTATTTATGAAATTTATGTAATTTATTAGTAAAAGTATTTTATAAAAGATATTTATGTGTGCCTATGCATGCATAAAATATTTTTTTATTTTTCGTGCCACGTGGAATCAGTATTTTGACTGGTAAGTTTCATGGTCGATCAAACAAATATTTCATTCGATTCTTATAATGACGGTAATTATGATAAAAAATCGTAAATCTATAACGAGAGACACTGATTAATTATAATTAAGTTCATTCTTTTTACGCGGGAAAGAAAAATATAAAATTCTTCCACTTGATATATATTTTTGAAATAAAATTACTCGATTTCATACGTTTAATAATAACGTTCTGAATGGCTTTTTTTTTTTATAATCGAATATATTTGTATATTTATGTTAATTTCGAATCAGACTCGCAATATTTCATGAATATAATCGAACGGTCGAATTTAATTGTGAGTGAAATTTTTGCATGAAGAGTTTACCGATGACGATCATTCATTCTTGTTGTTTTTTAACGAATATTCATTGATTAATTATGTTAAATACAGACGATAGAAAAATTTAAATTGAAACTTTTATTTGTAGAATCATTCGAATATAAAAATCAATGTTGAATTTTTACTAAAATACGCGAACAAATAATCAAATTACTATCTATTAAAGACTGTAATGAATTAGAAACTAATCAATAATTAAATTATTGAAAAAATAAAATGGTATATTAAAACTTAATAATAATAAGTATATTAGTTTTTAAACGTGATTTCATCCCTTAAATGTGATCTTGCGTGTAACGTAATCATGTGTGATCTCGTAAAAATATAATATATTTCTCTGTTAAAGGAAAAATAAATAAATATTTATGGGCATTGAATTTTGATGTAATTAAAGAAAATATCGATAAATCGAAGATAAGGATCCGTTCGAGGATAGAATAAAGAAGAGAATTTTCTTTCTTTTTGTTAGACGACGAGTGACGACGCCGACGAACGCATAATCGTGTCTTTGCACTCAAGCCGTTTCTAGACTAAAAATTCCAAGTAAGAATAATGTTCGCCGACGCATACATTTATCTTTTTTCATTCTTTTCTTTATTTCTTTTTCAACTAACCTATCTCCCTTGAACGCTAATTAATTTCTGTTAATTACCGGACAAGAGAACGCACCAAGAAAACGATTACATAGCCTCTACTCGTGAAGCTCAAAGCTCTTTCTATGTGTCAGTGTTAAATCAATACAGGTGTATTTAATCATTATGCCAATGATTATTCCAATAGCATTCACAACTTTGTATATAAGTAGTAATTTTTTTTTTTCTTATTATATCGCGTCTATTTTAAGAATAAATAGATAAAAAAGAATAATTTGTTCTCGCATTGTTTCCTTTAGAAATTTTTATTTTTCAAATCACGATTATTCTGACCGATTTTTAGTGATTTATTTTTGCTCGAGATAAAAAGATTAATTATTTATTTAATCTCGAGAAAAAAATTGTCCTTTATTGAAGTAGCAAAAAACGTTTGTAAATTTTATATATACATAAATCTTTTAAAGATTAATTATATACTTTTATTAAAAAGTACGTTTTAATACACAAAGTAACAAAGAGAGAGAGATAGCAATAATAAATAATAATATTCAAAAGAATAATTATAATTTTGTTGAAGTAATATGTATTTGATATAAAATTGGATTAGCTGGTATAAAATGATCTTTGATCTTTTATTTCTCACGTATCAAAGAGAACACTTGAAAAATGTAGAAACATAGAAATGTGTTTTAAAACCGAAAAATAGAGAGAAACAGAGAGAGAAAAAAGACAGAAAGAGAGTAAACATTAACAAAGTCTGTCGCGAGACTAATTAACTTATTAACGAACATCTTTTTCGCAGTGATCTATAGTACACACCACACATTCATATCTATATATACACACATGTATATATATAAGCATTTGTACACTAATACAATGATTGTGTGCATCGATTTTTTTTTATGTTTCTTTCTCTCTTTCCTTATCTCTTTTTTATTTTTTTTATTTTCAGAAGAACGCTACGAACGTCGGTAATTATGTCTACGATGAATGATGGATTGTTCGAAATATTTTGTAGAACATCACATCGGGGACGTGGGGCGGGCTTCGTTAATTCGTTCCTCGACGTGCGAGTCAGATAAATGTGCATGGACGATGCGACGGTGGCGTTCGAGCATTATAAATGACGTCGGTATTCATAATACTCGAAAGCCACCGTTACGGATACCAAAAGAAAGATCTTTCTTAACCTCCCCTAAGGTAC